CCCCCCAAGGCCACGGAGATATAACAGACAGAACTGAAACTTAGACCACATGTCCCTGGCTTGTGAATCCACACAGGAGATTGCGTGATACTCTGACAGGATTCCTGATTTTAGCTCAATACAAAGGAAGATATTTTGAACAAGGAGAGCACACTGAAAACGCATGGCTATGAATTTCCAGAAGTAGATACCTCTTTTCTTATGCACCCATCCTCGACCTCCGATGGCCTCAAGATGGCCCAAGTGACAAGCTGGCTTCTGGATAACCGCTGAGGTACACTTTCTAGGACTTTCCTGAGGCCCCGGCTACATGGCTGCCCTTGGCTACCATAAGGCACCCTACATTAATTTAAATTCTCTCCTGTTTAAACTGGCTTCCAGAGGTTTTGGTTACTTGCAACCAGAAGAATCCCAACTCACCTAAAAACCACACAGGTGTCAGCTACCTTGAAAGACAACTTAGGATGATAGAGAAGCTGGTGAACTTTCTAAACTTGGAAAGGCAAAAGAACCAAATTCCAATATTTCTCTCAAAACCCAGTTTATAACTCAAGCTTTCTGACTTAAGAAGCATCAGAAGACCATAGAAAATAACAGGGATTTTAAAAGTGGAATTTAATTTTTTAAAAGATTTTTATTTTGTTATTTATTTGAGAGGGAGAGAGAGAGAGAGTGAGTGAGAGTAAGGTGAGAGAGACACAGACTCCCCGCTGAGCAGGGAGCCCAACGAGGGGCTCGGTCCCTGGACGCTGGGATCATGACCTGAGCCGAAGGCAGACGCCTAACCCACTGAGCCACCCAGGTGCCCCTAAAAGTGGATTTTAAGAATGAAACTTGATTAGGCTTGATCAGGGGGAAAAGTTCCTTTCCCTAAAAAAAGAAAAAAGAAAGCCAAAACAGCAACCAACAACAACAAAACAGCACATATTTTTATTTGTTTTATGGAAGGTAACAAAATAGAAATTTTCAAATGACATATTTGAGCGGTTTACTCATTTGAGCAGCCTTTGGAACAGTTAATCCTTTGTAATGGCAAACACTCATAAAGTCAGCTATTTGCCTTTTATCTTAAATAAAATGTTTAAATGTCTATAATTTCTCGAGTGTGCAGAAATGCCGTTGGCTCATTTAATAAGCATTCAGCGAGTGCCTACTGCACGCAGCCCCCTTCAATTTCCAGAACAAAATAGAAAGCAATCGAAAGTGTCATCCAATGAAACTTTCCCACCTGGCAAATGAATAGGCTGGCTTTTCCGGGCAGAGGCATGTTTGCATAACTGGGCTGCATTAAATATAAGAGACAGATGCTAAGAACAAAAATAACCAAATGTGGCTTTCTGGGCATCTCGTCTCTCATATTCGGTAATTACAATGGCCGACGTTGAGGAAGGAGTTAGGGGAGGAAAATGAATGGGAAACGGTAGGATATATTAATTAAAATTTGTGTCCCTCCCCTCATTTAAAAAAAAAAAAAAAAAAAGAGTCTCTGAGAGTAGTTCTTTACCCACGTTGGTTCCTTTCCCTTCAGGGAATCTGAACATCTAGATCAAATCTCTTCCTGCAAGCCAAGGGAAAGGGAAGGCTCTCTCCTAGATGCCCAACCAGGAAGCAGGAGTCGGTCTTGGATTCCATCGCCACAGTTGGAAAAAGGAACAGCTAACAGTTCCCAAAGGACATGTTAGGAATTTTGTACCTGTTTGATGGTAGAACAGCTCTTAAAAAATTGCCCCCAAGTTTAATGGATTTCACCCTTAACAAGGTCTGCAATCAAAGTTAAGCGGCATCTTGGGCTTGGTTTCCACCTGTGCTGTTGACAGCACGTTTTCTGTTTTTTTCCCCTCTTTGGGAAAGGCCACTGATCGTTAGCGTTAGCGTCAGTGAAAGCATAAGACACAGGGGTCTGCCTTTCTTAAATTTATAAGGCATGACAAAGATGGCAGTTACTATACAAGTTTATTTTCGAAGTGGAAGGAAGAATCGGACATTTTATGACTAAGTATTCTGTCGGCAATAGGGCAAGAACCCCCAGGCATGCCCCTAGATGAGGAGGGGGTGATGTTAATCCTAATCATTGAGAGATTCCGTCATTTCGCTCTGATATTTTGAGAGCTCTCTCTCAAACATCACACCCAGTGCTAGTCCTGAGTACCTGAGAGTGAGCCCTTTCTTAGGATCATCACCCTGCCCCCCATTTTGAACCTCAAGCACCTCTTTCCTTTGCTCTCAAATTCCTACCTCTCCCATCCCTCCATTTCTTTTCTTCTCCTTTGTTTTTCCCTCTCCCCTCCTTTTCCGCACTGTTTTTCTTTGGTTTCTTCCCATTGTTCTGTGTCCTAGCGTCCCCCGGGGCAGAGACAGCTCAGGATGAGAGCAGAGTTGGTGCTCTGCTTTGCCATTTGCTACCTCTTTCCTTGTGGGAGGGTCATTCGATCTCTGAGCCTCAGTTCTAACAACTGGGATTGATAATACCTGTTTGTGGGGATTATGTGAGCTGGTTTATGTGTACACCCTTAAATTAAAAGCTATCCAAATGATATCGGTATTATTATTGGGATCACACAGACAACTAGGAAAAGATGTCACCGTCTTTACTTTGCTGCCCAGAGAGGGAGAGGAGAGAGACGGTGGTGGGAATCCAAAGTCACTGAGGGAATGTGTGACTGTGCGTCTTAGTAATGACTAAGCCAGTGAAAGGTAACTCTGTCTTTACCACTTGCCTGAGGGTGAACTTGTGCCTTTCTCTTCTTACCTCAGCAGCTGGCCAGCTGTGATGGCCTGCTTTGTGTGCATCTTAGGTTTCTTTTTCCTGGTGCGTTTCCCACTCACATGCATTGTCCCCTGGCCCTCCCTGCTTGCTCTAAGCAGCTTAGGCTAAGCCTGGATTGAAAGAGCGTCCTGTCCTAAGGGTGATGATAACAGGGACCCACCCAGCAACGGGTTGCCTGGGTATTGTTTTTCCAAAACTCGTGCCTCATCCCCTTTGTTACCCTTTTCAGAATGTCTGGCCAAGTTTACAGAGAGTTTTCGACTCTGCAGTGTCACCTCCTCTGCCACAATTCATCTAACCCCTTGTGGCCTTTAGCACATTCTCTGTTTCGTAAAGACTAGCTTCATTGAGATATAATTTACAAACCATAAAATGCGCTCTTGAAAGTACAGTCCAGTGACTTTTAGTATATTTACCGAGTTGTGTAAACATCACCACATTCCAATATTAGAACGTTTTCTTTACCCTCCTCCAAAACAAAAACAAAAACAAAAACAAACCCTTTAGCTCTTACTGCATCTTCTCTCCTCTCCCAGTCCCTGACAGCCACTAATCTACTTTCTGTCCCTGTGGATTTGCCTATCTTGGACATTTCATATAAATGGGATCATATAGGATGTGGTGTTTTGTGACTGGCTTCTATCACTTAGCTTGATGTTTTCAAGGTTCATGATGTGGTAGTGTGTATCAGAACATCATTCCCTTTTATGAATGAATAATATTCCATTGTATGGATGTACATCTGGCTCACCCATTCATCTGTTCATGAACATTTGGGTTATTTCCACTTTGGGGCTATTTTTATTTTATTTTGTTTTATTTATTTATTTTTAGGGAGAGAGAGAGAGAGGAGAGAGAGCACCAGCAGGAGGGCAGGGGGTAGGCGCAAAGGGAGAGAGAGAGAGAAAGAATCCTAAGCAGCTTCCACACTCAGGACGGTGGGGCTATTTTTAATAGCAAAGCTATGAACATTTGAATATTGGTTTTGTGTGGACATATGTTTTCATTTCTCTTGGGTTCATACCTAGAGAGGAATTGCTGAGTCCTGGGGTAACTCTATGTTTAACTTTTTGAGGAGCTGCCAGACTGTTTTTCCAAAGTGGCTGCACCATTTTACATCCCCACCAGCCATGATGGTTCCTACATTTCTTGATTTATCTCTGCATGCATATTACTACTGCACTTGGATTTAAGCTCCTAGTGGCCACAAACCCCTGGGAGATTGTCGCAATGGGAACCACAGCACATGGATATGTTCTGAATAAATCTCAGCTATTAGTTGGATATACTTTTTATTATATTCAGTTACAGTTCTTAGCTAAATTGGGTAAGCCCACTTTAGGAGAAAACACAGGTCTGATTTCACACCTTCCAAAGAACCCTACACAGAAACAGAGTTACCATGTATTGGGCCCTTACTGGACTCAACCATATACGACCTCATTTTTCAGGTAAGGAAACTAAGATTCAGGTTACTCATCCAAATAATTAACAGCAAAGCTGAAATTCCGACCCAAGTTGTCACTGCATCGCGTTGTCTTTCACGGTGAAGCAATTCTATCTATTACGCAGGGAGAGAGAGGCTTATTTGAGAACTTGTGCTTTCCCTCTATAAATTTCCCAAAGGTAGGGACAAGTGTTTTGCTCCTTTCGTTAACTCCATTTGCACATAGCGTAGCGGCAACTCAATTTACTTTTGATTATATAAATTTTGAACAATGATATAATGACTAATACGCTGAAATATAAAAGTAAGGTATTGTCGTCAAGGTCTAGTTCAATCCTTATTGCGACTATATGTGATGATATACGGTAAGCCTCTAACCTCTAATACGGTCCCCCCCAACGGCCACGGAGCCTTAGCCAAAACTGGATCTGGCTTAAATCCCCCAAAGTTGGCCTTTGTGCCTCAAAGCGTCACCGCCTGGGAACCAGAGAAGCTCTGCCTCTGCAGCTATCATTCGGGCGCCCAAGACACTGACTGGTGCCATTGAGCTGACACCAGCTGTCGGAAAAGCGGAACTGGCTGAAGAGGCCTTTGCCCCTAACCAGCATGGCCACCCTGAGGCTTCGGACTGAGGGCGGCAGAATGGGGATCACGTGAGGAGAATTCCGTTCTTTTATTGGCTTTCTCTCCTGGAAGGGCGGGATACAATAACCCAGCGGGGGCCGGCCTTAAAGGGCCCGCCGCTAAGTCGGCCCGAGCTCCGCCCCCGGGGCTGGGCGGGGCCGGCGCGCGGAGGCCGCGTCCGGGGGGAGCCGTGGTGACCGCCGCCGGCTGCGACGGGAGCCGGAGGGGGTTAACCGCCGAGTCGGCAGGCGGGAGAGCGCGAAGAGCGCGCGCTCGAGGCCGGCTCAGCCGACGGGGGCGCACGGGGGCGCGCGGGCTCCGGCGCCGGGATGGAGGACGCGGTGGCCGGGCCCCGGCTCCGGGCGGCGGCCGAGGCGGCCGAGTCGCGGGCGCAGCCCGGGGTGACGCTGCGGCCCTTCGCGCCGTTCTCGGGGGCGGCCGAGGCCGACGAGGGCGGCGGCGACTGGAGCTTCATCGACTGCGAGATGGAGGAGGTGGACCTGCAGGACCTGCCCAGCGCCACCATCGCCTGCCACCTGGACCCGCGCGTGTTCGTGGACGGCCTGTGCCGGGTGAGGACCGGGCCGGGCGGGCCGTCGGGCGGCGGGCGGACACTTGTTGCCCGGAGGAGGCGGCGCGGGTCGCGGCGCCCAGGTCCCGGCCGGCCCGCGGCAGCCTTTCCAGCCCGGGCCGCCGGCGGGGCCGGGAGGCGACCCTCAGGGACGCGGCGACGCCCCCGGCCGCCCTGCAGCGGTCCACTCCTGGCCCGGCGGGGGCGTGGGCGCGCTCCCTGAGGCTCCCGGGTCCCTGAGCACCTGCCGGGCCGCGCACGCACCGGGCGCAGGAGCTCTTAGCGCCTCGCCTTTGACGGTGGCTGGTCACCGCCTCCCAGGGACGCTCCGACCCCTGGGTGTCTACTCGGGTGGGGGGAGTAGGGGTGGGGGAAATGAAGTAAGGGACAGTCAAGGGATGAATTCGCAACCGGAGTGGCCGGGAGCTCACACTGCCGCCCCTGGAGCGTGTACCGTCGCTCTGCACTACTCCTTTGGGGAAGGGGCTCCTCTCATTCATAGGGAGCAGGAAACAGACGTGGAACGGCGACGTGACTCACTATTCATAAATAGGACAACGTCTCTGCATTCTCAATCTGCACTGTTGGAAGAAAAGCCAATGTTTGGGTGAGGATCTGTGGTTGCTCATTATCCTGTGGCTGGCCAGTTTTGGTCGAATGGTGTTGGGGGGAAGGGACCCATTCTCTAGGCCTTCAGAATAGTCAGGAATTTTGCTCCCTGAAGGGTTGGCATGCCACCATCGGGACACTCAGTACATGAGGAGCTGATTTTTTTTTTTTTTTTTTTAATCTACCCAGTTTAGAAACTTAGGAGGCTGAGGGGGCAGATATGAGTAATCAATGGTGGTGGAGGGGAGGAGGAGTTTATTTCAAATCTGCAATTAGTGTGCAGAATAAAATTTGGACAACGTAGGCATTGCAGAACAAAGCCTGTCTTTGGGAGACAGGCCTCATGAGGAGAGCAGCTGATGCTTTCCATGCCTGGCTCTGGGTCTGCGTATACTGTCAAGGAACTTGTAGTTGAAGGTTGCTGCCAAGAGGAACACCACTGTGGAACAGAGAATGGTGTGCTTTCGTCCCATTTATTTGTAATTTATGTGCGCATCCGCTTTCAGAAAGGATTTACAATGGCTGTGTGCTTAGGTAAACTGTGCATGCTTTCTAAAGCAACAATTGTTATAAATGCAGGGTCTCGCTCATTGTATTCTAAAACCTTTTCTCTTCCTGAGGCCACGGTCTAGCCAGCGCATCCAGTCTCTTTCCTAGGGGTCTGAGGCGGTCTTTCTAATGCAGCAGGGTCAGGTCGTGTAAGGCTGTGCTTATTTACTGGGGTGTCTAGCAATTCATAGTTCTACATCTTCCCAGTAAGTGCTGGGGACATTCCTGAAATTGCTTTGTGTGCAATTTTGTCCACTTTGCTAGCTGTTCATTTTAACAAATGTTTGAGACTCTGCCTGGGCCAGGCACCATTCTAGGCTCTGAGGGGGTGGCAGTGAGTGACATCACAACCCTGCCTGAGGGGCTGACCTTTCTGTTGGGGCAACAGACTGTCAACAAATATTAAATGTGTCAGGAGGTGATCTTGCTATAGGAAAAAGTAAGACCGAGAAGATAGGGGAGGAGGGAGTGGGGGTCTGGGAGGGGAGGGAGATTGCTCTTTCTGTTCTATATTAGATGATCAGGGAAGAGCTTACTGACAAGGTGATATTTTGAGCAGAGACCAGGGGCTTAGCATTCAGTCCTTTATTATTCTTTTGCTGTGTGTGGAATGCTTCTTATGTCCCAGGCACTGGCTTAGGCCCACGGGGTAGAGCAGTGAACACGATGAGCTTTCTGCTTATGCTCTAGTGGTTGAGGAGGGGTCCGATAACAGAAAAATAAGTGAACAAGTACAGTGGAGAAAGTAACATAGGATGAATATGCTAGAGGGTGACCAAGGAGAGGACAGGGGCAGAGTCCTACCAATCCTAAGGGGGACACTGTGGTTGTTCGAGTTAGTAAAGAGCAGGTGAATCGGGGCAGGACTGAGGGAGTCAGCCAGGGGTGTTGGATCAAGGGGAGGAGGCGGTACTGCTGGAGTCCTAGGCTGGCGGGCTGGAGCTGCAGAAGTGAAGGGGTGGGATTGGGGTGCAGGGAGTGGCAGGGAGGGGACACCCCCCACTGGCCCTGGCTTTCTGGTCTCCTTAGTGGAACCCAGCTGGTAGCCAGGAGGCCAGGGAGCCCAGGCAGCGCAGTCCATAGGTGGGGTCAGCCTTCCAGAGCCCAGAGAAGGGTAGAGAGGGCAGTGCATGGCCCTGGGGTCAGTGCAGGCAATGAGGACATGCAGAGAGGGGTCAGCGTGGGACCACTGTAGAGTGAGTGGCCCCAGAAGATCTCCCGGCACAGCTTGGACTTGGCTGGCAGGAGGAAGCTCCTTGCGTAGATTTTGTGTGGCCAGCGTCCAGGCAGAGGGAACAGGAGGGAACAGCAAAGCCAGAAGTTCTCGGCTAGTGGCGAACTGACTGAGGGCGTGAAGGGCGCCTCATGGCCCTGGCCGAGTGAGAGATGGTAGGGGGTGGCTAAGGTTGGACACAGCCAGGGAATGGTTCCATGGGGGGCCTTGGTGGCCCTCGGAGGGGTTGGGATGTTATTCTAACAGGAGAGCGGAGTGGAGAATTGTCTCTTGGGGAAGGAGGGTGGGTGGTCAAGAGAGGAGGCAAGGAGACCCCTTAGGCAGCTCTCGCCTTTCCTTGTCTAGGGGAGCTGTGAGGGTGTTTGGATTTGGGTGGGGGTGTTGGAGTTGGAGCCTGTCTTCTCTGTCTGGAGGGTCCAGAGCGTCAGAAGGGGGCGGGGAGCTTTGTGCAACATTTCTTGCACAACCCTGAGCTCCCATAAGATGTCAAACAATCAGTGAAGACACAACATTCACTGGGCTGAGGGAGTCACAGGCCCCACAGGCAAAGAGCTCTGCTATACGGGGGCAGTGAGAGCAGAAATCACTGGTGCGGGGGAGGGGGGGTGTTGGGCGGTGAGGAGGGAGCCTTTGGTGAGCCTTCCAGTAAAAAGAATGTTTCCTTCCGCTGAAACCATCCCTCTAGGTGGGAAGGTATGGCTTCCGGCAGCCTTATTATTTTCAAGGCTGTTCTCCCTCAAGGCCAGCCTGATCCCACCTTTGGGTGGTGTAGTGAAAATGTCCTGCTTCAGGTCGGTGTCGTCTGACCCGAGTGGGCAGACTGCTCACTGTGTTGCTGATGGAGTTCCCTGTACTGGGGGGCTGGCCGTCCCCCCTCCTGAACCAGTCCCTTGGAGGGTCACCTGGATGAGCGATGGTTAGCCTGTTAGGGCCACTGGAATCACATACCACAGCCTGGGTGGCTTATAAACAACAGACGTTAATTTCTCACTGTTCTGGAGGCCAGCGTGGTCGGTGATGGTCCTCTTCCCGGCTTGCAGATTTCTCACTCCATCCTGCTGCAGTGGAAGGGAGGAGGGGGCTGGGGGCGGGGGGAGCTTTTTCATCAGGACACTGGTTCCATCCAGAGGGCTCCACCCTTGTGACCCGAACACCCCTAAAGGCCCCACCTCCTCATACCATTACCTTCAGGGGTTAGGATGTCAACGTGTGAATTTGGCGGGGGGGGGGGATATAAACATCCGGACCACGGCAGACAATGTGAAGGAAAAAGACTGTGCCAAACTTCTTTCCCCACGTTCCTGTTATTCTCTAACCATAGTCCTGATAGAAAGAAATCGATCTGAACCACCAATTCATTTGGGAATTTATGTCAGAAGCCATTTTCTAACCATAACAGTTAGGTGTGATAGGTAGTTTGTCAGCCAGGTCATCATCAGTGCTGCAATAATTTACAATAAATGTGTTCGTTAAATGCTTATCTAAAAAACAACTGAAACTGTATCATCATTAACTTCAAGTAGTATTACTAGAGAGATTTACGCTATTACAAATGAGTGACAACTTTTATTAAAAGAAGATCATTTTCGGGGCGTCTGGGCAGCTCAGTAGGTTAAGTGTTTGACTCTTGATTTCAGCTCAGACCGTGATCTCAGGGTCCTGAGATCAAGCCCCATGTCGGGCTCTGCGCGGGGCCTGGAACCTGCTTCAGATTCTCCCTCTCCTTCTGCCGCTCCCCACCCCTCTCTCTCCCTCCCTAAAAAAAAAAAAAGAAAGAAAAAGATTATTTTCTCTTGTACAAATATTAGCTTAGCATATCCCATTACTGTTCTGTTTTTGTGAACCTTTTTTTTTTTCCCTGAGAAAGCAAAACAGTGCTTTGAACCAGTAATTGCATGCACTTTAGCTCATTGGCGGTGGTCCGTTGGTTCCCTAGAATAAGCACATTTATTCAGTCCTCATCAAGCTCACCAGAAACTTAGGAGTTCTCAAGTAATATTCTGTGAGTTTCCAGACAGCGAGCATAGTTCTGTAGGGTAATAGAAACAAACACCACTTTTCCTATCGTCTGAAACATGAATGCATATTTGACTGATAGAGCTTTGCCCAAAGGCTAAGTCAGAAAATATTAATCATCAGAACATTTACTCTTCTCTGTGAATAAACTCACTTTCCCTAAGACAAATGTCCACTTAAGATTTGTGATACTGACATGCTTTTCTTTTAGTAGCGGGAAATATTCTGTCATAAAAGGAGTTTGAGTGGTGGCTTTGAATTCTTTGTATCAGGGAAGACCCCAAGCACCTTAGCTTGTGCACCTTAGCGGCACATGAGAGTCCCTGGGGAGATTTAAAAATCGTCCAGGCTCCAGGCCACCCTGACCAGCTGCAGTCTCAGGGGCTGGCAACCACCTGGAAAGAGTTGCCGAAAAAGCTCCCCCAGGCAATTCTAATTGTGAGTCAAGGATGAGGACCATTGTTTTACCTGGAAGGGGTTTTGCCTGACCAGAGGCCTTGTTGTGCCATGAAAATATCATTGAATAATTGGTCATTGGGTTCCATTTTGAGCCAGATCTGTGCCTTGATTTCCTCCGAGTCTAAAATAGAGTC